ACTAGGTGGTGCAGGTACAGGATAAATGGCTCCTTAATGGTGGGAAAAAAGAAAAGGGAAAAGAACAAATGACTCTAAATTTGTTGTTCCTTTCAGTAGCTTCCTGGATAGTGTGGAGTTGTTTTGGACTTGTTGAATTTGTAGGTCATTCAAATGCAGATATCTAGTAGGTAGTGACAGTTAGAGCCAATGGGGGAGATTAGACTTCCCAGGGAATGTAAAATGCTCTTCTGTTTGATGTTTTGTCTGATTTTTGTTTTTCTCAACTCTGACTAAAACACAATGAGGAAAAGGGAAGGGTAGGAAAAAATAGTTTTATTATAGCTTCATCATAGATTAAATATAAAATGGTTTCTATTTCACATAAATTACTCAAATTTTGGAACACTGCCAAATGAAAAGTTGGGGGCTACCCAAATTATGTTTTGGTATAGTTGTAGATAAATGTGTGCATGCTGAAAATGTCTAACCTTGACCGGTTTGGCTCAGCAGCTAGAATATGGATGCTGCAGACCATGGAGTCATGGGTTTGATTCCTGTCAAGGGCACGTACTTCAGTTGCGGTTCAGTTCCCAGCCCTAGTCAGGGTTTGCGGGAGGGGGAGGCAGCCAGTTGACATATCTCTCTCACATTGATGTTTTTTTCTCTCTCTCCCTCCCTTCCTCCCTCCCTCCTTCCCTCCCACTCTGTTGGAAGATAAATGGAAAAAAAAAATATCCTCAGGTGAGGATTAAAAAAATAAAATAAAATTGGTATTAAAAAAAAATCACCTACTTGAACCCATTAGTGTGCTGACATGTCCATAACCCCATAATTGATGATTGGTAAATTATTGTGGTGACTTGTTTATAGCTCCATAATTGTTGATTGGGAAAGTCACTGTGTGCCCTCTAGCTGAACCTGTTTTGTAAAGAATTTAATCAACAGGATAGAGATCAAAATAACCTCAGTAAATTGGAATACTCCCTGAAGCAAGACAGAGTCCATGGAGCCTGGAGGTCTTGAGTCAGAGACTCAACCACCCCTACGATCTCAAGGAATGAGTCTTGCATTGTGTTTGTGCAGCTTGGGGCTAAGTGTGAGCCAATGTACCTTGAAATATCTGGATGTGCCTGGGTGTTCCTGGGTGTTCCTAGGTGTTCCTGTTATCCACAAGGCAAACTAATTCTATACAGCATTGTTGTAGCCCTGGGCATTATATAAAGAAGATTCTATTTTCTTATATCATTAAACTTTTTGCTGTAAGGTATAAAAGGCATGTAATAAATCATATCGAAGCTCTCCAAAGACTCTGTCACAGGGGTGTTCGGAATCAGACGCCGGCTGGCTAATAAACGGCTCTTATTTGGACTTCAATTCTCTAGTGGTCTTTCTTTGACCTTGTCACACCACATCAGGAGGATTATAGCATGTATTAAAGTCTGAATATATGTGGATGAAAAGGGGCCACATGCTAAACTGAAAAGCTCAGGGAAGGCTGCATCGTGGCCTTGCAAACTTAAAGACCTAAAGTAACCACAAAGGATGGTCTGAAATTGAAACTTTTTAACTAAAAACAGTTTATGGCAGGTAGTCATGTCCTAGGTCAGTATCTTCCCTGACAAAGGTCAATTTTTACCTTAATTGAGCCTGTTGTCTTTTTGCATCTATGACAACATACCTTTGGAATATCAGGGTAATTTCCTTTTTTCCATGACCCTCAGGGCACAACTGATACACCAGGGTGGAGACCACAAATCCCCTCATTGTTATTATTATCATGTTAATTGTTGACTATTAACTATCCTATAACCACTTATGTAAAAGAAATATGTGTCACCTGGCTGGTGTGCTCAGTGGTTGAGCATCAACCCATGTACCAAGAGGTCACCAGTGGTCGGGACACATGCCCAGGTTGTGGGCCAAGTCTCCAGTGGGGGGGCATGCAGGATGTGGCCAATCGATGTTCTCTCTTATTGATGTTTCTATCTCCCTCTTCCTTTCTCTTTCTCTAAAATCAATAAAGAAAAAAAAAGAAGAAGCATGTGTCTATCATTTTACTTTTTGTCTCCCCCACTGCTTTCTCCCACCTTCCTAATCTATCACCAATGGAGTTCATGTAACCCATTTAAATCTCTTCTTTTGATTGTACTGTATAAAATAAGATGCAAGACTGCCCTTCTCTGGAGCATTATCTTAATCTGATGAGGTTTTACTTCCTGGCAATTGCTGACATTTTTGGCTCAAATAAACTCACAAAATTTTTCACAGGTTTGAATGTTTCTTATGTTGACATTTATAATTTACACAATTAACCATTCATCATTGAACCAACAAACCGACAGCTTTTTCACTACTGGATAAGTAATGTGGATGAAAAAGAGGCCACATACTAAACCTGACAAGCTCAGTGGAGGTCTGCATGGTAGCCTTACAAACTCAGAGAGCAAAAGTAACCACATAGGATAGTCTGAAATTAAAATTTCCTAACTCAAAGCAAGTCATGGTGAGTAGTCAAGTCCCAGGCATGTATTTTCCTTGACAAAGGTCAAGTTTTACCTTAACTGAGCCTATCTATTGTCTTTTTGTATCTATGATAGCATACATTTAAAATATCAGAGTAATCCCCTTTCTCCAGACATCCTCAGAGCACAATTTCCCACTAGAAACATGAGACCATGAAACTCTTCATTGTTATCTTGTTCTCCCACATACCATCTCTATGTGCTGTAAATTTGAATTGTTAACTATCCTATACCCACCAATGTAAAATAAATATGTGTCTATCTGTTTTACTTTTTATCCAGTGCCAGAGATTTCCCCATTTTGCTTTCCCCTGCCTCTCTAATGTACCACCAATGGATTTCATGTAACACTCCTACATCTTGTCCTTTGATTCTAATGTATAAAACAAGGTGCAAAACTGCCATTCTCTGGAGCATTCTCTCAGTCTGTTGAGATTTTGCTTCCTGGAAATTGCTGTACTTTTGGTTCAAATAAACTCATAAAAATTCTCTACAGGTTTGGACGTTTTCTTATGCAAATAGAAAAAAATTCACAGTTAGAAAAACATTGGTAACAGCAAGGACATATCACTGCAAGACGAAAGGGAAGAACATTAAAAAGTTCCTTCATAGCTCTTCAGGTCTTTAGAAAAATGATTGCCTTTTAATTTTTGGATTGACAGGCAAAGATCATTGTTGCCAATTCAATGTCAACAGGAGTCCCCAATTTGGGGTACAGTGAGGAGAGAGACCATTCAGTGAAAATAGTACAATTGTGAAACAGCTTGGCTGTAATAATAGCATGGCTGTGGGACAGCACAACCATGGAACCACAGAGCTGTGGAACAGAACAGCTGTGAGCCAAGCCCTGCCCTGGCCAGGCCTTGGTGTTACAGCTCAGATTAGTGTCGCAGCTCCAGCCAATGTTGCAGCTCCAGTCAGAGAAATATAGTCTTTGATGCAAACTGAAAGTATGCTTCCTTGAGGCAAAGGTGAAGCTGGTTTATATAGAGACGTGCCCATTTATATATAAATGAGGACTCTAAATCCTCACTGTTTGATTGGTCCAAATAGCAGTGTCTTGATTGGTCATCAAATAAGCACACAAAGATATAGTTGCACAGCCCTGATTGGCTAGTGCAGGTCTTCAACCATTGGTTGATTTAGAAGCCTAGCAGCTCCCTCTATAAGGGCTCAGAGGTAGGAACATAGTCCAGGAAGCAGACAGCTTGGTGCAGCTGTTTCCTGAAATACAGCCTTCATGGGTGACCTCTGTAAACAATGGCTACTAGAGTCTTGTTTTGAATTTGAGTCCAATTAACTAGGAGGAGACATTTTTGGCAGGTATATTCTTCTCAGGGTCAACAGGATATATTTTGGATACAATATTCTTTGGCATCCTAAGGTCAGTGTTTTTTTTCCATTTTCTCCATGATTTCTCAATAACCATTTGATTCTAAATACTATTGTCTTAAAAGGAAAAGTGACTTATTTCTGTACTTGGCAGATATTGCTAGAAGTATGTTAAAGTATCCTTTGGATGTCATTGGCTCAGTCAACTCTACATTTTGCTCTTTCAATTTGTGATTTTCTTTTTTCTTGTTTTTCTCCTTTCTCTTCTTTCTGTGGCCCATCATTTACTATTTCTCTATTTGTTAGCATCTTATTAGCAGTGTGTGGGCAATGGGGAGGAAGAAGTGTATGAACTCCAATCTGTAACTTTTGGAAAAATATTTTAGTGAAGACACTTGAAGTTATTTCCCTTAAAATTGTTTTGTTTTTGAAAAGTGAATCTTACCCAAAGTAACTGTCTTTGAACACTAGCATCTCCAGCTAGTCTTAAAATTGCATTTCAGGGGCCACAGGCTAAGGAACTTCAGAGAATCAACCCTTGCATTTAAAGCACCAGGATTTGAAAAGCCAAGTGTGATGATGTAAGTAAATATTTTAAGTAATGCAACCTATGCAATAATTTGGTTTTCCATTAAAACAAATAGCAAGAGGGCTTTTTAAATTGTACAGTGAATGCAGGTGCAATGCAAATTGAAAACAAGTTTGAGGGCTGGTTTCTGTGAAACTTATCTGCTTGGTGATATGCAATTGCCTCCTTAGAACAGAATGTTTTGAAACAGGATTTCTCTTATCTCTTTTAAAAAACCTTTTTTCCTCAAGGGCTTCAATTCTGGCACAGTGTTCCAAATGTCAAGCTGATTTTCGCTTTATACCACCGTGTGATGAATTCCTCCCCTCCAGCCCCGAGGATCTTTACAACAAAATAACAATTAAGTATGGAAATTCTAGGGGGTTGAAGTGGGAAGCCAGGGTTGCAAGAGAAACTGACTACAACTCCCACAAGCTCTCTCGGGCTGCTATTTTTCCCTCCCTCCCTCCACACCCCCAGCCTTGCGCTTGCGCAGAAGGCCCTGTGCTGAGAGGAGGGGGCGGGGATAGGATAACGCGCTTGGAGGAGGAGACGGAGGAGAAGGAGGAAATAGGAGATCATAGACTTCCATCTGGGCCTAGAGAGGCTCTTAAAGTGGTGGAGAGAGGAGGGCGGGAGGGGACCACCTTCAATACTGGCCGCTGGCGGTATCATGGCGACCCGGAACCCCCCTCCCCAAGGTGAGCGGCTAGGGCCCGAAGTAGTGTTTGAGACGCGGCTCACAACTCTCGACCTTGCTCCCAGGGCGCCTTTTCCTTCCCCTGTTACAGGGCTCCTGGGGCTCTGTTTTTTGTTGTTTTTTTTTTTTTTTTTTTTCCTGAGGCAGCAGCTTTGAACGCCCGTCGGAACCAGACTTTCCCTCGCTCCTCGGTGGAACGCAGGCGAAGAATCACTCCCGTCCCCCAACACAGCCCACCCCCTGCCTTTCATTTCCATCTTCAGTCATGTTTTTCAGTCTTAACTCGGAAGTAATATTTTCTTGCCGGGTCTCTACCAGTTCTGTCAGTGGAGGACCCCCCTCTTCCTCTCTTCCTCCCAGTGATGAAAATGGACCCTGTCAGGCCCTGACCCTACTGAGATTTGGGGATGACCCCTTCATACTGTGAAATTGATTTGACCCTACTGAGATTTGAGGAGGTTACTCCTCACTGCGGTGTAACTTTGACCAGACCCTATTGAGATTGGGGGGTGGGGGGGCGGGGACGGGTGGTGGCGACCCCTTACTGCTTTGTAACTCTGACCTGGTCCTGGTTTGGTCCCCCAAACCGGTTTTGGGTCTTTGGAAAGGAGATGCTAAGCCCTTTACTCTTGAGACCACAGTCTTAAGGGATTGGATGTTTCCATTTGGGTATTTTTCACTGTAGTCCAAAAGTGAGTTGTAACAGATGAAAATTGTATAGGGCGTTTCTCATTTTTGGTTGACTTTAAATTTATTTTTTCCATTTTGTATTTTGAAGAATATGAAAGTGATGATGACTCTTATGAAGTATTGGATTTAACTGAGTATGCAAGAAGACACCACTGGTGGAATCGTGTTTTTGGCCACAGTTCTGGACCTATGGTAGAAAAATACTCAGTAGCCACCCAGATTGTAATGGGTGGAGTGACTGGCTGGTGAGAACAACATCTTTTTCATTACATTTCATTAGAAGCCTGACTGCTGCCCTTTTGTACCTGCAACAATTACTGTGCTAACTCAGTGGCTTTATATTGTTAATCCCCAAAGAGCTCTACCTTGAGGCTTTTCTCTGTTATGGTTAGTGTAATCATTAGTGTTGGATTTTGATGATCTTTCCATGTGCCCACCACTGTTTCACTGTTCCCTCCTCACCCTTCCTTTGATTCTTTATATATTTTTCCCCTTCTCAAATTTAGGAAATATAGTGGATTTGATTCAGTGATAGTAAAGAGGCAGAAATAGATAACAGTTAATTATGCATAAATAATTTTTACTTGTTCATTGCTAACAACTGGAAAAACCTGTGCGAACTCTTACAGTAGAACTGGTCTCCAGGATTGTCAGCCCTGTACAGAACAGTGTAAAAGTCTCATTAAAAATTATTAATTATGATATAGATGATTCTGTTGATTTTTGTGGGCTAGTTTGGATTATAATGCTTTGAAGAAGAGTTTTGGGACATTGAGTCTTTGTTGGAATTTAAGGACTGATTGCTTACTCTAAAAATATTGTGGAGTATATTAAGCAATTAATAAGCATTAACCTAACCAGTTAACATTTCAGACCACATGATTATATAATTGCTACTATATAGATCTAATCCTGTTGCTGTTAGAGTAAAAGATTAGCCAAGTAACATGAGTCAGAAACAAAGTTTGACCCTTTATTTTGAAGATGTCCATGACCATAGAGAATTTTTGAAAGTAGGGTGGTGCTTAACTTGTGAATAATCATTTTTTTCTTAGATTCTAAGTTAAATTTGTCTTACATTAATTTAAATATTTACATATTTAAACTTGATAAGTATAAAATTAATTTTTTAAATTTGTATTTACATGCACCTTGGAACAATCTTCTATGCCTTTTTGTAAATGGCATTTTGTGGTAGAAGCACTCATTGTGAAGGTTCTGTGATGCTGAGGTGCAGTATTTATTCATGATATGTAGTTATTCCGCTTATGAAAAAAGCCTGCAATTGGAAGAGATGCCTTGTCAGACCCTGGTTATTCAGATGATTCTTCACAGGCTGGTTGTACGTTGGTACACATAATTAAGGGTCTGGTCCTCTCCTTAAAAATAAGCTCACAATTTGATACCATGGGTGACTGGTTAATGTGAGTTAGGGTCTAAAGCCCCATCTTAAGAAAGACTAAAAAATAATTGAGCAATAGAATTAAATCGTTGTGTATTTTTTCCTTGTAGGTCATACTCATGAGAAGCCCCATAATTGGAAGAAGTTTGCTTGGAAAGCCTAGAGATAGAGTAGGGGAAGTTAGTAGGTTCATTTTAGTGGTTCACACCATCAGACAAAGGACAGACATGCTTGTGGAGCATGCTTCCTGAGATATTGTTGAGACCTGGCTGCTGCTTGCTCCTTCTGTTCCCTTTTCTGAGCCTTTGTTGCTTACTTCCCTACTGAGGGACACGGTCTTTATAGTAATACATACGTTTGCATAATACCCAGGTGTTGGCCCCAGAGCTGTGTAATAGTACTATATACACAGGTTATTTGTTGCAGTGACTTTAGATTCATTGTAGAAAATCTTTGCAATTTTTTTAGGCTATAAAACAGATGTACTCTTGTGGCATACATTAAGGAAGAATGGTTAATAATCATTAACCGAACTAGTTAACAATTCAGACCAATTCACGACATGAGTGGGAGGTTGAGGAGGTTATATTTAGCTGTAGGTAGTTATAGGATTTTTTTAATCATAGGAAATTAAAATTAATGTCAGGAAGGGTGGTTGCTAGGATAGATAGGAGGAGTGAAGATTAGTTAGAGGGTCTGGAAGATTACTTAGTGTAGTTTGAAAATAAGGTAATGATGCCTTTGAGAGTGGAAAGAAGTCAGAGTCAAATAATATTTTGGAGATAGAGTATATCAAATTGGTAATCAGCTGGACCCTAAAGGTGATGGAGGCAGGGTCTGAGATGAACATGAGGAAGTGAGCCTAGAGAATGGTGCTGTCATTTTCAAATTGGGACCTTAGCAAGAGTTGGTTTGTTTCAAAAGATGATGTTTGCCGTGGGATATTTTGAATATAGGCATACCTCAGAGATATTGCAGGTTTAGTTCCAGACCATCACAGTAAAGAGAGTGATAATCTTTTTGCTGATGGAGGGCCTTGCCTTCAAATGGTAAAAAAATGCAATATCTGAAGCACAATAAAACAAGGTATTCCTGTATGTGATTCTGGGTGCTAGAGAAACTCATCATATAATTGGAAATGTAAATTTTCAATTTTTGACGGCATGTTAGTTTCCTAGGGCTGTTTTAACAAAGTACCACAGCTAGGTGGCTTTAAATAAGAAATTTAATCTCTCACAGGTCTGGGGAATAGAAGTCTGAAAGGTGTTGGCAGGGTTGGTTTCTTCTTGGAGGCGCAGAGGGAGAATCTGTTCAGTGCTTCTCGCCTAGCTTCTGGTGTTTGCCAGAAATCCTGGCATTCTTTGGCTTGTAGATTTACTCCAATTGCTGCTCCTGTCAGTACATGGCTGTCTTCCCTCTGTGTATTTCTGTGACATGTTGGACTAAATCATATTGGATTTAGGGCTCACGTTATTCCAGTATGACCTCATCTCAACTAATTACATCTGCAGTTACCTTCCAAATAAGGTCACATTCTGAAGTTCTGGGAAGGACATGGATTTTGAGTGAATACTCTTTAACCCAGTATAGAAGGCTAGAGTTAGCAATCAGATTCTTTTGCACTGATATACTAATGGGAATATGATGGAATACTGATGGGAATATGAGCTCACTGAAGGAGAAGATCATGGAAGGAATATGGGTTGACATTTTTTTTTTAAAGATTTTTAAAATTGATTTTTAGAGAGAGAGGAAGAGAGAGGGAAAGAAACATTGATGTGAGAGTTGCCTTCTACATGCCCCTGAATGGGGGTTGAGCCCACAACCCAGGCATGTATCCTGATAGGAAATGGAACCTGCCACCTTTAGGTGCATGGGATGATGCTCAACCAACTGAGCCACACCAGCTAGAGCCAGGGTTGACATTCTTAATGGATAGATGAGACAAAACAGATTTAATATAGAGATAGATAGATAGATAGATAGATAGATAGATAGATAGATATAAGGAAACCATGAAAAGTATGGGCTGAAGCGGAGTCACAAAGATGGTTCTCCAACTGAACTTTAAAAGATAGAACAGCTTTATATAGGCAGAGCTAAGTGGAAACCCCTAGATAAGGAGATTAATAGCTTGAGCAATGGCGATGACCTATTTAGAAACTATAATTGAGTTGGAGCAGAAGTTTTAGGTTGAGTGAAGGTTGACCAGGCATGTAGAATTTTTTTTTTTAGAGAGAGAGGGAGAGAGAGATAGAAAATAGATCGGCTGCCTCCTGCACGCCACCTACTGTGGATCGAGCCTGCAACCCAGGCATGTGCCCTGACCTGGAATCAAACTGGGACCTCTCAGTCTGGACGCTCAATCCACTGAGCCACACCGGAGGGGGCAGAACATATTGACTATTAAAAAAGCAAAACAAAACAAAGCACTTTTATTATGGAGAATGTCAACATTACAAATGTAGAAGGAAGAGTATAATAAACCCTGCATGCTCAACATTCAGTTTCAGTTGCCAGTCTTTTTTTCCTATAAATTCTCCTCCTCTCCATTCCAAAAGCACATCTCAGACAATTTAGATTGTGCACTTTTGACTAGCTTATATAACTGATGAAAAACATGGAGGGTTTCTGAGTAGGTAAGGGACATGATTAAAAGAAATGGGAAGACATTAAGATTTTATTAAGAAAGCACAAATGTAGAAGAGGAGAATTTAATATATCATTGATCTCATTTTTTGTTATTTCATTAAAGGTGTGCAGGATTTTTGTTTCAGAAAGTTGGAAAACTTGCAGCAACTGCAGTAGGCGGTGGCTTTCTTCTCCTTCAGGTACGTCAGAGCTTTATTTCTTTGCCTCTGCTTACATATGTAGCCCTTGGTAACTGAGAACGTCAAGTTTAGCCATTTCACTCCTGTCCATTTTAATAGCAGATGGAATTTTTCTTTCAGGCATCAGTTTATGGAAGAACTGAGTTTTGAAAGCATCTGTCATGAAAGACAACAATTTAAAGACTAAGTTTTTTAAACACAGTATGATCCCAATTATTAAAAAGACAAGTATTAAAATTTATGGTGCCTCATTTTTTTTTTGGTTTTTACTTACCCAAATTTTCCTTGAAGCATCTCCCTAGCAAAATAAACATTCCACCAGTAATATAAACCTACTCATCCTGACAGTTTTAAATACGTATATATTTACAATTTATATGCACAGTATAATATTCAAAAGATCTCTTTCCTTCTCATTTCTTAGTCATCAGTTTTGCATCCCAGAGGAAACTCCTCTTAGCAATTTCTAATATGTTTTTTTAAAACTAGGGGACCATAATAATATAGAAAGTAGAAAATTGGGTTTAAAAAATCATCCATAATCCTATTTCTGAGGCAGGTGGACTTGAAATTTCAGTTTTGTTCATGTTCCTCTAAGGTTTAAAAATGTTTGCTGTTAGAGGATGTTTATCAGAATGTTATATGGAATCCATGTCTGTTTGGCATATATTTTTCCAAAAATATCATTCCCTGAAGATCAAATATAGTAAATCCTAAAAGCGAAAATCTCTGGGAATGAAAGTTAGCAACAATTTAAAAGACACAGAGGACTGTCAGTCATACCAGATTTTAAAAATGATTGATGGTCACAGCAACCAAAATCTTACTTCATGTAATAACCAGTGTTGTTGCCTGAAGTACAAAGGGATTGGATTCGTATGTGCTAAGCACAGATTTTGAGTTGTTTACCAAACAGCTTTTAAAACATATTTTTTCTTTCTGTTGGTGTGGTGGCATTATTAGCAGTAATTGCTTCTTACTTGTGGTAAGAGGTAAAAAGAAACATGGTTAATATCTAAATTTAGTCCTTTGGATGAATACGTCAGCATTAGTACAGATAATTTTATTTAACCTGATTTTGACTTTGGTTTATATAAATTAAGAATTAAGATACCTAATTTTATAGCTATTTCAAAACTCAGTTGTCATTTCTGTTTAGTGGAAAGTTATTTCTGTTTACTGAACTGAAGCAGAGCTTCCTGAAATGTTCAGAGTAGAGGGAATTATACATTGCAATTCACTCTGCATGTCAGCTTTTCAGAAGTCCATTTCAGTCCACTCAATATGCGCCATTCAAGTCCACATTGCCACCTTCTTCTCTGGGCCTAGTCCACATATTCTTTGAAGTCACTAAGCAGAAGAACATGGGACTTGCTTGCGTCAAACCAATTTTCCCCACAAATGAAAACTCAGTAGAAGGGACAAGGAGGAAAAAAGAGTAACAAATGGCTTTTAGGCTAATTGTCTCCTATTCTTTAGGCCCACTTCTATATTTTTATTACCTTTACTTATATTTAAATATAAATATTAGTTTACTTAGAACTTAAAGTTTTTCTAGTAACTCAATACTAAGTGTTTTCTGGTAGGTTTTATCACACTGCCATGTTAAGATAGACAGTGATATATAAATTTTTTCCATTTATTTGTTCAGAGTTTTACATGCCAATAACTCAAAAGGTCAAATACATATACAAGGCTTGTTACGGATTAGAGTAGTACTCGGCCTTCCTCACTACCCTCCCATTTAGCTATCATTTATTGAACTTCTTTGTGTGCGCCCCCACACCCCTCGCCCCATCATCTGAGTATTGTTATTTCATAATTGTGTTAGATCATTACCTGGACTTCACTGAGCTTCTTGACTCTTTAAATTTATGTCATTAACCATGTTTGGGAAGGTTTTGGTCATTATTTCTTTAAGTATTTGTTCCCTCCTATTTTTCTCCTCCTGAACATGACTCTGCTTATGTGCATATTGGCCTTTTGATAATATCCTGAAGCTTTGTTCATTTTTTTTTTCAATCTGTTTTTTCAGATTGTATAATTTCTAGTGATTCAGCTTCTAGTTCTGACTCTTTCCTGTCATCTACCTTCTGCCATTAAGCCTTTCCAGTAAATTTATTTCAGATATTGTATTTTCCAGTTCTGGGATTTTCATTCTGTGGTTTTTGTATTTTCTGTATCTCTGGTGAGAGTTCTTTTTTATTGATTGCAAGCATAATTTCCTTTACCTCATTGAGCATAAGTATATTAGCTGTTTTAAAATCCTGATAATTGTAATATCTAGGTTATCTCAGTGTTGATGTCTGTTGATTTTCTTTTGAGACTAGGCCACGTTTTTATGTTTTATGATATATCAAGTAACTTTGGATTTTATCCTGGGCATTATTTTATTCCTCTGAAGTGTTGATTTGAGTTTAGCAGGCAGTTAATTTGGTTAGACTCAAATTACAGACTCTATTTCACTTGTGGTGGGTAGCAGTTCAAATCCCAGTTTATTTCTTTTAGCCTTAGCCAGAATAAATTAGTGAATAAATTTTAATTTCTTTACCTCTAAGCTTCATTCATTTCTTGAAATCTGAATGTTCACGTATTCCTGGCTAATAGGTTCATTAGCAATCTGGTTGGTTTAGAATTAACCATTTTTTAAAAAAAGAATATGTTTTTATTGATTTTAGAGAGAGAGGAAGGTGGGGGGGGGGGCACAAGAGAGGGAAAGGGCCTGTTTGGTGAGAGAGGGATGAACAACAGAATTTATATGCATGTGTGCATGAACAGTGGACATGGACAACAATCGGGGGAAGGGGCAGGGAGGGAAGGGGGAGGGGGGAATCAGTGGGGAAAAAAAGGAGAATCATTTGTAACAAAAATTAATCAATAAAAAAAAAAAAGTAAAAAAAAATAAAATAAAATAAAATAAACTACATTCAAAAAAAAAAAAAGAGAGAGGGAAAGGGAAATATTGATTGGCTGCCTCCTGCACGCCCTCTACTGTGGATCAAGGCCGAAATCCTGTCATGTGCCTTGACTGGGAATTGAACTGGTGACCTCTTGGTGCATGGGATGATGCTCATCCAAGTGAGCCACACTGGCCAGAGCAGGAATTAACCATTTTTATTACATTTTTGTAGATTGCTAGTCACAGTGGCTATGTGCAGATTGACTGGAAGAAAGTTGAAAAAGGTGTAAACAAAGCAAAAAGACAGATTAAGAAACGAGCAAATAAGGCAGCACCTGAAATCAACAACATAATTGAAGAGGTGAGACATTGTACATTTTTGCCTCCCTTTTTTTTTCAGTGGGTCTTGATTAGTAGAAAATGTGACTAGGGATTATCTTCTTTTAAAAAAATTTAGTGTTTTTGGTTATGTCTAGAGAATTAAGTAAAATTTGGGATCAAGCCACCATTTAAACCAATCATTATTATTATTTTTTTTAGTAGTTAACATAGTTTCCTTGCCCGTCTTCCACCTACTTTGATCTACGTGTAAAAGCTGATAACATTATTCTTCCAGAATTTTTCCTCTACTTTTGCAAATGTGTATGTGTGTAGATAAGGTCTGGGAAAACTAAAATTACTTGAACTGAAATAGTTGGAAAATGTGTATGTTTTATTAATATATTAGTTTTATCAATGTTTTTGTGTATATTTTATTTTCTTCTTGTACTCTATTTAGATTTGAATACTCCCTTGTCCTTGTTTTTATTCTGTCCTTTTACCGCTTCTAACTTTTTATTTTGAAAAATTTCAAACGAGTTGAAAAGTTTAAAAGACAAATACAGTCAATACCCAAATACCCTTCATCTATTTACCAAATTGTGTTGCAACATTTGCTTTATCTCTGTGTGTGTATGTATATGTATATGTGTGTGAGATTTACACTTTTTATTTTTGCTGAACTCTTTCAGATGTCATGACTTTTCACTCTTAAATACTTTAACATATAGCTCCTAAGAGTACAGATATTCTGTACAACTATAATTACCCTTATTATTTTCCCCAAATTTAACATGATGCATTAGTATTTCCTAATATACAGTCCATATTAAAATTTTTACACAGAATATTTTTTTTCATAATCAAGAATTATATATTCCATTTGGTTGTCATGTATCTGAAGTCTCCTTTAATCTTTTTTTTTTTTAAATATGTTTTTATTGATTTTTTTTAGAGAGAGGAAGGGAGGAAGAGAGAAACATCCATGTGAGAGAGAAACATCTATTGGCTGCCTCCTGCCCACCCCTCACCGGGGACTGAGCCTGCAATCTGGGCATGCGCCTTGACCTGGAATCAAACCAAGACGTCTCAGTCTATGGGACGACACTCAGTCCACTGAGCCACACCGGATGGGCAGAAGTCACCTTTAATCTTGAACAGTCCCCTCATCTGGAATTTTTTTCTGTTTCTTGTTTTTTAAAATATTTTTATTGATTTTAGAGAGAGAGGAAAGGTGAGGGAGGGAGAGAAACATCTGTCATTGCCTCCTGCACTGCCCCTACTGGGAATCGAGCCTGCAACCTGGACATGTGCCCTGACCAGGAATAGAACTGGTGACTTTTTGGTGTATGGGACAACACTCAAGCAACTGAGGCAGGGCTGGGATTTTTTTCTTTGTTTTTTTTTTTTTTTTCCTGGCTTTCATGACATTGACATTGTTGAAGCATTGCTTCATGGTTTTAAATGGGTTAAATATTTTATCAAGATGGTATTTTTTTGATTTTGTACATTTTTTTCTTGCTAAGTGAATTGTTAATAAACAGCATTGTGCATGCTGTGGGACTTTATTGAATAATCTGTTTTTTTTGTGTTTTTTTTTTATCCTCACCCGAGGATATTTTTCCATTTTTTGTACAGGTAGAGTGGGAGGGAGAGAGAGGAAGGGAGAGAGAGAGAGAAACATCGACGTGAAGGGACACATCGAGTGGCTGCCACCCGCACGACCATCCAGGGCCGGGGACAAACTGCAACCGAAGTACGTGCCCTTAGCGGGAACCGAACCCGGGTCTCTCTGGACCACAGGCCGACGCTCTAACCGCTGAGCCAAACTGGCCAGGGCGAATAATCTGTTTTAATAACTTGATGAATGGACTATTTATGCCTGTTCTATAGGTAGATTTCTTTTTACCTGTGAGGTTATTGCTAGGCTATAGCTTGGGGGCCTAGAACAGTGTTTGGCACATAGTAGGCACTCAGTATCTGTTAAATTTACCTATTATCTCAATAGCCAGTAATCTTACTGGTCCTGGCTGGGAGCTCTAGGCTTTTTCAGTTTGTAATGGACAACCCTGGCATCTTGTGTGGTAGTTAGCACCTGCTCTAGTAGGTACACAAGAATTTTTGCTGAATATTATTAAATTGAGGAAAACATCTGGAAACATTACTTAGCTCTGGGTTCAATAATTAATAGTACTTTTAAAAATTTGCTCTTTTATTGTGGTAAAATATACATAACATAAAATGGATCATTTTAACTTTTTAAATGCACAATTCAGTGGCATTAAGTATATTCACACTTTTGTGCCACCATTACCACTATCCATTTCCAGAACTTTTTCATCATCCCAAACAGAAACTGTAACCATTAAGCAGTAACTCACACAATTAACCCTTCTTCCAGCCGTTGGTAGCCTCTGTTCTACTTTCTGTCTCAATGAATTTGACTAGTCTTGTAAGTGGAATCACACAACATTTGTCATTTTTGTCTTTTTTATTTCACTTAGCATAATGTTTTAGGTTCACCCATTTTGTAGCATAATTAAGAGTATTTTTGTTTACATTTTATGTTTTAGGCAACGGAATTTGTCAAACAGAACATTGTGATATCCAGTGGATTTGTAGGAGGCTTTTTGCTAGGCCTTGCATCTTAAGGATGTGAGTGTTCTACCACAGTGGAGTCACCTGTGAGAAAAGAAGTTGTGGTGACAAGGCGGTCTCTCTCAACATTACACACCACCTTCCTCTCCAGGGCAACAGGCAACAACTAGCTGGACAACATCTAGCTCAAAACTTAGCATATTGTTATCTGAAATTTGGTAAACTAGTATCTGCTGTAAAACAACCTGTATGGTATGTGTACAATAGTATTCCTGATCAAAACATGGCTGTCATTTATTTAAATCAGATGTTCTTCATTGTGCTTTATAGTATAGGGCCAATAAATAAAAATTTGTACTATAGCTGCAACATTAGGGCTGACTTTTTTTTTAAAGATATGTTTGTAATAAACTGAACAGTAATAATGCCCTTTTGTGAAAGGATTTAGAAATAGTAGAATTATTAAATATATTAAATTTAATACCAATTTTTAGCTTGCTTCTGTAATTCTTACTGTGCTTATATAATAACTAGTAAACAATTTCAAGAAAGGCTCTTCTAAAGAAATATTACATGTTTAAAGCTTTTTTCTTTTTTTGATGTCTGTAGTTGTAAAAATATATCTTCTTGTATATAAGCTTCTAATTTATTTTATCCTGGCAGCCTGAGAAGAACTAATTATTTTGTGGGTACATATAGTTGGTTTACTGATTTATTACATTAACTTTGAGTGAACCTCATTTCTCGGTTCTAAATGTTGTAGTTATTATTTTGGCCTCTTCACAAAGTGGTAAAAATTACCTTAAAATACTTAGTAGTACAGTATGAATTTACTGTCTGAAGAACCGTGATTTTCTGTATAGTTATGAAATTGGAGCTTAAAGAGAATTATCTCCTTGATCTAGAGATATAAGTGCTAAGGCTTTCAAACTTTTGGTAGCATTGTATTAGTTGAACACTCGGCCATTTGACCTGATTCTCAGGGCCGACATCACACTCCCTCCGAGGCGCCTTTGCTCAGAAAAGCTTTCTATATTGTTTGTTTTGTCCACAGAGTTCTAGGTTGGAATTGGGAAAAACATCAGAACAATATGTATTAGAATCTTCAGATTGGAAAGACTGCAGATATTTAGACTATCTCCTTTTGATAGCAAGTCCCCATAGTATATTTTGTGTATTGTAAAGATAAAGCATTTGATACTTTAAAGATGGGTACAATCTGTATGCTTTCATTATCATAAGACTCCTTAAAATTTAATGTGAGATTGATCTTCATGTTCTTTCTTTACTCTCATTAGTGCCTCAGATACAATGCTAAATAAAACTCAGAAATGATTTTGCTTATAAATACTTGTTTTTTCTTCGTTGAGCTTTTCTCTGTTTATGCTTCACCAAGTTTTTCATTGCTGTGAAATTAAAAGGGTGAAATACATGGTGGGGCAAAAGTAGGTCTACAGTTGTGAGTACTCAAAACACAGAGTTTATTCTTATATTATTATTTATTAATTATTGTATTATTTGCTATATGAGCAACTATAAAACTTACTTTTGCCAACTGTATTCTACATTAGGCAGAACCTTGGCTGCACCTCTCTGCACGGTATCTGCTTTATGCTTCATCTGATAACAGTGGACAGACTACTGTGGGGAGTTCTAGTAGCTGGCTCAATGTGTTCATTTTGGAAATATTCATAATGTATATAGGAGAGCCCTGGCAAGTGTGGCTCAGTTAGTTGGGCATCGTCCTGTGCACCCAAAGGTTGCTGGTTCAATTTCTGGTCAGGGCACGTGCCCTGGTTGCAGGCTCAGTGCCTAGTAGGGGTGTTCAGGAGGCAGCCAATTGAGGTTTCTCTCTCTCTCTCCCTAAAAGTCGATACAAATATTAAATATAGGTGTATATGTATATATGTATAATATAAAATGAGATTTTAAATATATATACATATAAATGTATGTATATATATATAAAATTTATATATACATATATATAAAATGAGAACCTGGCATATGATTTAGTAGCAAATGAGTAGTAGGGATAACTACTTTAAGAGTCCAAACAAACATGAATGAAAACCGAAAAAGATGGCATTTCATTTTTACCTATACGTTTCCAAGTACCTGTTGTTTTGTCTGAAAATATTTTTATGAAATGCAAAATATTAGCAGTGCTCTCCTCACTGTTCCGTCTCTTTTAGTGCCCCTTGTTCTGTCTCATGTCTGCACCATTTCCCCACTAGGTAGTATACTTGAGGCAGTCGGATGTGTTAATGTCTAACTTGTGATGCATACTGTGTAATGCTTTGCTCACATTAGGTATTTAGTTAATGTAAATGAGTGACGGGCATGTGAAAAGCTTAATACTGTGCTCGATAGAGTTGGTGTCAGCCAATAGGAAACCTCTGCGTAGCAGTCCATTGAATCAGAAGTTCCATCAGAAAGGACTTGATGGGGCTTGGTTAGAATGTAAAGCCTATAACCTGCCTTTGTCTAAAATGGAGATTTTTATGTATAAGGACATAAAGGCTGTTTGCAAGATTTATTAAAATTTGACTATATGGAATATAGGTATTTTGTGGTCTAGGCTTTGGAAGATATATAAGGATATTTTGACTGATTTTTATTTTTTATTCTTCCCAACACCCCTCATAAGAAAAGATGATTTTTAATGTTTCTTATTTCAAATACAATATGAATGAAATGTGTTAGTTATAGAAAAACATCAGTGTAAATAATATACAGAATATTTATAATATGATGTACTTGGAAATAGTTATTGTCCATATTTTGATACATAGCCTTTGGAGTCTTTTCTACCTGTGCATGAATACATCTTATGTGTATTTTATATTGAATCAAAGTTTTGTACTATTTTATAAATAGCTATTTTTAGTAATATCTCTTTATAATAGGTACATTTTTTTCTTTATCGATTTTATTTATTTATTTATTATTTTTATTAATTTATTTTTGTTACAGATGTTTCTCCTTTTACCCCATTGACACTCTCCTCCCAATACCCCCCCTGCTCCATCCCCAGCTTTGTTGTCTATGTCCATTGGTTACACATACATGCATATAAGTTCTATAGTTTTATCTCTTCCTGCCCACCCCCTCTTCTGAGGTTTGTCAGTCTGTACCCTATTTCTATGTCACTGGGTCTGTTTTGTTCATTAGTTTGTTTTGTTAATTACAGGAAAATTTTATGGTGTTACCTCAAAGAGTTAAAAATTGAACTGCCATTTGACCTAGTGATCCCACTTCTAGGAATATACCCTAAGAAGCCTGAAACACCAATCAGAAAGAATATATGTACCCCCATGTTTGTAGCAGCACTATTGACAATAGCTAAGATCTGGAAACAGCCCAAGTGTTCATCAGTAAATGAGTGGATGAAAAAGTGTGGTGCATATACACAATGGAGTACTATGCAGCTGTAAGAAAGAAAGATCTCTTATCCTTTGAGATGACATGGAGGGACCTGGAGAGTGTTATCTTAAGTGAAACAAGCCAAGCAGAGAAAGACAAATATCACATGATCTCACTTATTTGTAGTACATTTTTGATGATGGAAAGATGTAACATAAATGCCCATCCTTGTCTCCTTTTATGACACTATCATTAACAGTCCCTTTTATATATATTTTAATATATTTATACTTTTTTTACATTTATTGTCCAAGTTTGGGTACTATATATTGAATGTCCACTCTGAAAGGTAAGGAATTTTGTGCACATCCACTTGTTTCCCCCCATTTATTATCGCTAGTGTATTTGTAGTTTTTCTAGTACATACCTTTATAATTTTAAATATTATACTTTTTCTGTCATTATTTACCAACTTTATATAATATCCCACTAACTCCCAGTAATTAAAATTGAAGAAAATAAGTGTACTTTTCCTGACACCCATTGGCCTTCTGATTTTTGTTAACTATTACTTTTTAAATTTTTTACTTTTAAACAAATTTTTATTGAATTTTTTTTTTTTTTCCAGAAAGGAAGGGGAAGAGATAGAAACATAGATGTGAGAGAGATACATCGATCAGCTGCCTCTTGCACACCCGTCCGCTACTGCAGATCGAGCTGGCAACCCGGGTGGGTGCCCTGACCGGGAATTGAACTAGGACTTCTCAGTCCATGGGATGATGCTCAATCCACTGAACCACACTGCCTTGGCAAATTACTATTAATGATACTTTGAAATGACAGAATTCTACTGAAATATTAAGAGGAATTTAGAGCTATATAAATGTGATCTAGAACGGTCCACATGTTAGTGATAAAATCAGTTTACAAACAGTATGATCCCACTTTTGTTTTTTTTATAATTTTTTATTAATTTATTTTTCTTACAGATGTTTCTTTTTTTCCCCATTGACACCTTCCTCCCCATCTCCCCCACCCCATACCCAGCTTTGTTGTCCATCAGTTATGCATACACGCACACAAGTTCTGTGGTTTCGCTTCCCTCCCCCCAACACCCCCTCCTCTGTTGCCAGTCTGCACCCCAATTCCACGTCTCTTGGTCTATCCAATTCCTCAGACAGTTATGTTCATTATATTCCACAAATAAGTGAGATCACAAGACACTTGTCCTCTGATTGGTTTGTTTTCCTTAGGATAGTACTTTCCAGGTTCCTCCATGTCATCCTAATAGATAAGAGACACTTCCTTCTCACAGCTGCATAATACTCCATTGTGTATATGTACCCCAGCTTTTTTATCCATTCATCGACTGATGTACACTTGGGCTGTTTCCAGATCTTGGCTATTGTAAATAGTGCTGCAATAAAAATGGGGGTACATATATTCTTTCTGATTGGTGTTTCAAGCTTCTTAGGATATATTCCTAGAAGTAGGATCACTGGGTCAAATGGCAGTTCAATTTTTAATTTTTTGAGGTAACATGATAGTGTTTTCCATAGTGGCTTTACCAGTCTGCATTCCCACCAGCAGTGTACTAGAGTCCCTTTTCTCCACACCCTTGCCAACACTTGTTTGATGATTTGTTGATGGTGGCCATTTTGACAGGTGTGAGGTGATACCTCATTGTTGTTCTAATTTGCATCTCTCTGGTGATTACTGATGTTGAGCATTTCTACATATATCTCTCGGCCACTTGTATGTCCTGTTTGGAGAGGTGTCTATTTAGGTCCTCTGCCCATTTTTTAATTGGGTTCTTTGTTTTTCTTTTGTTGAGTTGTATGAGTACTCTATATATTTTGGAAATTAACCCCTTATCTGATATATCATTGGCAATTATGCTCTCCCATACAGTGGGTTGCCTTTCCATTTTGATGATTGTATCTTTTGCCCTGCAGAAGCTTTTTAGTTTAATGTAGTCTCATGTGTTCATTTCTCCTTTGTTTCTGTTGCCTTAGGTGATATATTAGTGCAAATTCTGCTGTGTTTGACATCTGAAATTTTGTTGCCTACATTTACTTCTAGGATGTTTATGGATTCACGGGTCACATTAAGTCTTATATCCATTTTGAGTTTATTCTTGTATATGGTGTAAGTTGATGGTCTACTTTCATTTTTTTGCATGTAGCTGTCCAATTTTCCCAACACCATTTATTAAAGAGGCTGTCTTTTTTCCATTGTATGCTCTTGCCTCCTTTGTCAAATATTAATTGAGCATAATGTCTTGGGGCCATTTCTGGGTTCTCTGTTTTGTTCCACTGGTCTATATGCCAGTTCTTGTGTCAGTAACAGGCTGTTTTGATTACAGTAGCTGTTTTGGTATCTGGTATTGTGATCCCTTCTACTTTGTCCTTCTTTTTCAAAATTGTTGTGGCTATTCAGGGTCTTTTTTGGTTCCATATAAACTTTTGAAGTGTTTGTTCTAGTTCTGTGAAATACGTTGTTGGTACTTTGATGGGGATTGCATTGAATCTATAGATTGCTTTGGGTAATATGGACATTTTAATGATGTTATTTCTTCCAATCCATGAACAAGGTATGTGCTTTCACTTCTTTATATCTTCCTTTATTTCTATTTTCAATGATCTGTAGTTTTCTGCGAATAGGTCTTTTACTTTTTTAGTTAAGTTTATTCCTAGGTTATCTTAATTTTTTTGTAGTGATGGTAGATGGGATTTTTTTTTAGTTTCTCTTTCTGTGACTTCATCACTGGTGTATAAGAATGCTGTCGATTTCTTGATGTTAATTTTGTATCCCGCTACTTTGCCAAATTCATTTATGAAGTTAGTAGATTTTCTATGGAGTCTTTAGGGTTTTCTATGTATAATATCATGTCATATGCGAATAATGACTGTTTCACTGCCTCCTTTTCAATTTGGATCCCCTTTATTTTTTCTTCAT